CCCCCGCCCCCCCCCCCCCCCCCCCCCCCCCCCCCCGATTTGTTTGTTCTTGATAGGCGATTTGTGTATACTATTTAGAGCCTCGTCAAATGACAGATCCTTCCCGCGACAACTTGATGTAAAAGTTCATGTGGAGAAGAGCAACATGAGCGTTAGATATATGTTCTCATCAATCGAATAGAAAATCACTTTTATTAGAAATATTAAAGAGAAGAATTGAAAAAGTAGCAGTTGCTAGTTTTCGAGACAAAAAGTCAATTTATATTAACCAAAATCCGATTGAGAATAAAACAAATTGAATGATGTTTATTCTTCGTTGATGAGGGTGATGAGGGTATCTTTTCTATATCCGTCCACACCTATCCTTACTCGCACCCTTACATCTTCAAGATGATTTTTCTAATTTGGCTAGAACAAACCAATTAATCTGTAATAAATTCGTACAAGAAGCCAATGATAAACGTTCTACGTATAGTCGAAGCGATGTTGTGTGACTTTTCGGTTTGAATTGATTATCATAGACTATCTTTGTCGTTTCGAGAGACGAAAAGAAATTCGCTGGTAAATCAAGTTCATGCGCTCGTTGAAATGTCAATTCATCCAAAACCTTAATCCGGTTACAACACAATTCCAAAGTGTTCAATATTCATTGTGAATGTTGACAGTTTCCATTGAATTCAGATGATTATCATTTAACATTAAATCATATAAATTTGTCAATCCGAGAAATCAATTGAATTTCTTGCGAATTTGTTATACTGATTTTGCGCACAACCGTGCTATTGAATGTTTTTAAATTTAATTAATACGGAAGATGATCATAATGTATATTATCAATGTGTTTGGTGAATTAAACGCAAATAGATTGAAATATCCGAGTAGATTTGTATGCGTCACATGTTGAACGCGTAAAGTCGAAATCTAAATGATGAAAATGTTGATCAAACAGTGACAGTCTCATTGCTTGTAATATTTTGCGTACAAATAGATGAACATAAGTGAACAATGAAAAGAAAAAAACTTGACTAAAAGCATTGATGTAAATGGAAATTGTTATGTTGCAGCAGTCTCTTTATTTTTTTATCTATTTATTTTACTTGTGATATTGCAAAAATTGTGAGAAAGAATATCAATAGTCTCTGATTTCTTATTGTGTTATACTTCGAGGAAATCCCCATCGTCTCATGTTTATTTGTTTCTAGATTGATATTTTATTACTAATGGAAAATGATACTATCGTTGCATGAGAAATCTTTGGTAGAAATAAGGCCATTGAAATAGAATTCTGCTCATAAGATGTAAATGTTGAGAAGTGTAGAAGTTCATTGACTCTAAAAACGTGTGGATAATAGGCATATAAGAAAGTTCTTTGCAAGGGACTTACGCAAAGCGAAATCTGGCCGTGCACCATCAAACCATCCTGCACTCTTCACATATGGATTACTAGCAAGACAAAGATATTCCTGAACATTGCTGTATCGTTCAGGTATTTGTTTGTTGGAAGTGTCTCTTTGAACATTTAACGCAACGTATTTTAAAATAGTGTCAATATCAACATTGGGCATCCTTAAATAGTGAAGTAAATAAAAAGTATACAGACTGTTTCGACCGTTGCTTGCTAATGCATTAAAGGTTGATCCTAGACTGCATGAATAGGCGATGACTGTTGATGGTGGTGGACGTATTGGGGCAAGACCTTGCGTTAATCCAAGTGGTTCTCTGTCAAAGAAAGGTGTCATGGTTACTATTGATTGAGGAGGACGATAGCAATCAAGTATAATTATTATTGCTCGAGGACTTTTATTAACCATATTCCCAATGTATTGGTCAACGTTTAAGGAGAGTTCTTTTACAGTGTCTGTATTAATTATATGATTGTTTGTTGGCATCAGATAGGTATTGCCATCGTACTGAGCAGCAAGACCAGAGAAATACAATAGTACAATCGAATTCGGTTGGATGGATAGTAAGAATCTGTTCGTTCGTTCTAACAAATCGATGGTGTTGAGATTGACAGCAGAATGCGTCAAAAATCCAATAGAACGTAATAAATCAGACATATCACTTGCATCATGCATAGACGAACTTCTGGCTTGATGTACGTAAGCACTATTACCAATAACTAAGGCTTGTTTTTGGAACATGGTGCGAGTTGATAAAAACGAAGGTGTAGGGAGATTAACTGAAACGAAGGACAAATTTCAAAGGTTTAGCGTTGCAGAAACAGCATTGAAAAAAGGTGAATGAAAATTTATTAAAAGAGACGCTATGGATGTATATACCTACTAGCCAGGTAGATTCTCTATGAGATTTGACTAAACGAAAAACACTAATGAGAATATTTCGTTGATACTTATACGCCAAGCTAATCAAATATCGTGTAGGTGTGTTTGAATTATTTCCAGCATGTGACGTTGGTTTCTTCACAAAATAGTAAACTACAAAAAAATAGGTGGAAGAAAATCATCCACGCGAAACAGCATTAAAAATAAAGAGAGCTGCTCAACTAACCTACGCAAACATAATTTTTCTCTCGTTGCATGATTCAAATCAGGAAGTGCAAAACAATATGTACACGTTGTTTCACGGAGTGAAAACGCTTTTTATCTGATAACAAATGTAAATTATGTTGAAAAAATTGTGATATAACTCTTAAAGTTGGTAGTATTTCGTAAGGTATGAAGTGCACAGGTAAATACCAATTATTTTTAATTATATAATTATTCATGCTGTTTCGGTTTATGACGCAAAAAGTATCGATGTATCAGTGGCTTTTTAACTGTAGTCAAAGGTTATTTTTCTCAACACAGCTATTTTCACTTCCTCTATGTTGAAAAACTACTATTGAGCGTCTGTACAGTCAATCATTTCGGACAGAATCCTTGCTAGATGATCGCTTATCTAGAATTGAATAGTACTAATAATCCATCATCAATCAGATGATAACGAATATGAGAAATATTCAACTGAGACGTGAATAATAATCACATCGTTTTCTCTCTTTTAGTTGCATTGACGTATTTGTAACTGTTATTCTCAATATGTTCTATAAACAAGCTTTACTCATTGGTAATGATCAATATTCGGGTGAAAATGCTAGTTTAAAATCATGTGTGTACGATACCAAGACCATGACTAATTCATTACGATCTATTGGTTTCCATGCGACGCCTGCCATAGACCTTCGTAACGACCAAATGGAATCGGTTGCAGATCAATTTACTGCCTCTATACAAGAGGGTGCTATCGTTCTTTTCTATTTCTCTGGTCATGGTGCTCAACTGAATGGAAAGAACTTACTATTGTCCATAGATTCCGACGGGCTTACTGGTCTTAATGCTCAGGTTTTACTCCAAAAGATGCATGAAAGAAAGCCACGAGTGATCATTTTCGTACTGGATTGTTGCCGTAGCCGTATAGAAATTCCGTATACATTGCTGAGAGGTGTACTGTTTGATCAACGACCGAGATTGAGGGATGGTCTTGCGCCTATGGGAGGACCACCATCGACCATCATCGCTTTTTCCTGTGCAGCAGATTCCACGTCGTTGGCATCTTCGCCAGACCGTCCAAACAGCATATATACACATCATCTACTTAAATATATTACGACACCAAATGTCGATATTGACATTCTACTAAAATATACGGCTATGGATGTTCAACGAGACTCATTGAACAAACAACTGCCATTTATTTATTCAAATTGTAATGAATCTATTTGTCTCAATAGTAATCCATGGCCTATGATGTCTGTTTGGCCCGGTGTCAATCAATTTAATCCTTTAGCGGGTAAGNACCAAATGTCGATATTGACATTCTACTAAAATATACGGCCATGGATGTTCAACGAGACTCATTGAACAAACAACTGCCATTTATTTATTCAAATTGTAATGAATCTATTTGTCTCAATAGTAATCCATGGCCTATGATGTCTGTTTGGCCCGGTGTCAATCAATTTAATCCTTTAGCGGGTAAGGTACCGTTTAAATACCATCTGTATAGCTAATTTTTCGAATCTGCTCAGTAAAATCGATTCAATACCCAAATTGGGATCAGCATGTCAATTACACGGCCAGGCCTCAAACGGGAATTCTTCCATCGTATTACGCTACATATTTCAGATTGGGAAATTATCAGTATCCAGTGTTTGGTAATTCGTGGTATGATATGATGCGATTTTCCTATGCATTTCCACGATACTAAACCATACATTTAAACAACAACCGCAGCAATGTGGAAATATCCTAGAAATTTTTTAATCACTGTTTTCTTCTATCGAAATAAATTCCAGAGTGAAAATGTGAGCGCGTTTTCTTTGTATGCGACTGCAGAGGAGAATGATTTTTAAAACGAGTAGTATAACAACAACGAGGACAAAAGGAAAATGAGTATAATTTCAGTTGCTATGTATATCGAAAAGCAAGCAAATACGATCTTGACGAAGGACATTGGAATGAATAGAATACACATGTATATCCAATTACAATTCATCTTCTTATTAATTATTACATAGATTTCATAACGAATTCAAAAAATAAAATTATAATCCACGACGGAAGATCCTGTGTCTGTATAGTTCGAAGTCCAGCTGAATGTTAGTGGAGACGATAAGAAAAGTCGCACAGTAGTATACATATTGATTGTAAATTACAGACAGAAAATTAGTTCATAACACAACTATGAACTATTATCAGGATGTAGATATCGATTTACATTCTACTGTGAGTATCAGCTGCGTTTTTTTCATCCTCACTCAAATCCTACTATGCGATTTACATTCGAGAATCATAAATACCAACAAAACGAGAAGAAGTGTCAATATGTACAAGTCAACTGCGAAGGAGAGGAAAAGCAAACTTTTACTACGTGTTTTGATATACATCATGCATACGATAGTTTGAGATATTAGACTTTTTTTGTTCTTGTACCGAGATATTTTTTCTTGGCAGACGTCGCTGTTCTTATTTCTTTCTTCTCTTTATGACGATAATTATAAGAAGAAAAACATGCGCTGGCTACCGTCTGATGTATCATACTATTTCGTATATGATATGATTTTCCTCCTATTTTACATGCGTAATACTTTTTTATCCTATACAAAGCTTAATATATATCTTCTTTTATGCGTATAAACGCTTTTTATGCTGTAGCTTTTCCGTTATTTCATTGAGATATACCTAGGTTCTCGACCATTGTATAAACAGTACGAGGATTAAAATGAACTAAACAATGGCCGATCGCGTTGTCGTGTTTCTGTCGACTATATAAAATTTTTACTCCGTTAGTTTGAGTGAGTGCAACAGACAGAGCAACATTTTGAAATACGTATATACTTTACCTAGTCCAAGCATACAACCTTGAGGGTTAAAAGAGCGCCTAATTATAGTCATTTTAACTATAACTATAGAATGAAGACTTGCTCAGGAATCATCACAGTTCAATGACATGATGTTATTTCTTTTCAGCGACAAACAACTAAACACCACTGCCCGTGCGATGGAAACGCTTGAAGCACGTTTATTTGACATACTCGAATCGAATCCTGATCCTGACGAGATCATGAAACTAATTGAACGAGGCGTCGATTGTAATTTATCTAAATTCGATCCAAATACCGACGGTTTTATCTCACCTATTGAGTTAGCAGCGAAACAACATGCGCATCGTGCACTATGTTATCTTTATGAACATCGCAATAGTCCCACCAAAGCGCAACTAGAAAAACATCTAGTATTTTACATCAATCACTACAATTTACTTCAAGAGGAAAAGAATCAATTAGCTCTGGAATACATTGTCAGCCATCTTCTTCACAAAGATATTCTTGAATTTGATCCAGAACACTTTTTAATTTTTATCAACGCTCTCAACAATATCGATGGTGCCACGCGACGTGGAATAGATTTAAGTGGCGGGATTTCATACAGGGTTGTTCTTTCAGTGCGTATTTTCACTCTGGTTCGGTATATCGTCAAAATGCATATGGATTTCCCGTTAATTCTTGACGGCGAAAAACTAACGGTTGCTGAAAATGAACTTCTTCATACTTTAGAAGCATACTATTATTTGTATGATGTTGATAAAATTCCAGGACCAATACCAGAAAATTTGGATATAGATGAGATAAATAAGAATCAATCATTACCACTTATACAAAATTATCGATGTATTGCAAACAATATCATCAAGAAGATAAAACAACTTGACCTAAATCAAGAATATACCATCCTTACTGGTTGGGACGCGCATGCGGTATGCATTTCCTTTCGAAGTATTAGCCCAGACCACATTTATATTAGAGTTGATAATCCTAGTCACGAAAATCCATCAGGCAAGCATAACACCTCAGCTATTGCAGGAAAAAATTATCTAGCAATCGAACCAAAAATACTCGGCCGATTGAAAAAAAGTGATTTGAACTCTAATTTGAATTATTTCATTTTACTGATCGATAGCTGTGCACGGGAACTAGAAGAGAAAAATGGCATTTCGCTAATTTATAATGAAAATAATCAAATTGTTGGTCTCGACAGAGAAAACATTGAGAGTATACCATACTTCGATGAGCAAGCAGAGAACAATTGTGCTGTCAAAAGCTGGGAGATTGGTTTTCGTATGCGCCTCCAAGAAAATCGAAAGGAATTTTGCGAAAGTTTATTGTCATTCGACCGAGATAATGCATATGATCTTTCAAAACGTTGTAAAGACAAGCGTCAGAGTGACCCGGCCAGCACGCTTTATCGTCTCGCTTCATTAGCCAAGATTGACGACGGAAAAAAATTGTCAATCGAACACATTATGCAGCTTCAGAACGAGCTCAGAAGGTCTTATGAACGACATTTACAGCACCTTTCAAGTATCTGGGTTAGTGGAAGTGTCGAACCTACAACAGATGCATATATTCCTTTAACATTCGAGGAAGATGGTACACCAATTGATCTAGCTAGTTCCTTCGCTAACACTCGTGTTTTAGTACTTGGTGAGGTCGGTAGTGGTAAGACGACAGCTTGTCAACATGTGACATATTTGTGGGCTTGTGAGGAGATATGGCAAAATAAATTCAAATGGTTATTTCATATTAAAATGCGAAACTTAAATTCTCGACGTTATCCGCCAATGCAACACACGAGCTATTCATTGATCGATATTATCGAAAAGGAATGTTTTTTGGAACACGCACTTAGTGGCTTGGGTAAACTTGAATTGAACTCTCAATTAGCCAACCCGTCAAATATCCTTTGGATTCTTGACGGATTAGATGAGCGAGCAATTCCAGATCATCTACATTCGATCGAAGAAGAATTATTAGCAAAACCACATTTACTTCTGACATCTCGGCCACATGAATTCTATGATTTTCAATATGATATCTGTGCTCATGTTCAAAGTTTTACAGATCAAGATATTCAGAATTATATAAACAAATACTTTTCTATCATGTTTCGAACAACAGCAAATCAATGTTGGTCATTTATTCATAAATCTGAACAACTATTAGAGACCGCTCGCATCCCTGCGTGTTTGAAAGTTATCTGTCATTTGTGGAACAATGGTAAAGTAAAGTTGAATTCTAAAGTGACAATGGGACAACTCTATAAAAAAATGTGCGAATATTTATTGTGCCGATATCTGCTCAAATTTCACAGCCTGTGCACATCCGCTCTTGTTGGCCGAAATATTTATCAAGAAGTTAATGCTAAAGCTTTCACTCACTTGGAACGTCTAGCCTTTCAAGCTACAAAATCACATCAACTTACAATTAGTAGAGAAGAAATAACAGATGTTGCAGGTTCACTATCCTCTTCCGTACTACAAATTGGTCTACTGGTACCTGAAACGCAAAATTATTCGTCTTTGCTTCTCGAAAACAGCTACTATTTTATTCATCGAAGTTTTCAAGAATATCTCTGTGCTCGTTATATGATCGATGTGTTGGAATCAGACGGTTCACATGAGCAAAAAACCGAAGTCATTCATTTTATAGGCAATGAAAAATACAATCGTCGCATACAGAACGTGTTCCGTCTATTCTTTGAATTAGAACGTTCTAGTTCTTGTACCAATCAGTTTTGGTCCATTGTCGACGGCGAACCACGGGATCTGCTTGGCCTTCGACATTGCTCTCGTATTTCTCATTGGTTTCCTAAAGGAAGTTCTCGTTTCTCTAAAGAAGATCGAGAGAATATCAGAAAAAGAACCACCGAGGTCATACGCACATGGATATCGAATCAAGATCGTTTACCACATGACACTAGCAACGCATACATATTCGAATCATTCGCCGATGCAACAGGTCGTCGATGCTGGCTGGATGGATGGAGACAAGATCTCTTTATCAAAGATCCGTTGAAACGACACTATTTGTTACATGACTTATGGTCGATGGAGAATATTAATGCTCTCAAAACAGTCTACGATGACATTTCGGGAGATTTACATAAATTGCATAGTCTTATCACGACAGGTCCGAATACTAGAAGTCTCAAATTGCTCAACCTTAAAGACAATTTATTCAATTTATACACAACTGATAGCCAAACAAAAATACCAAAGTTATTGAAAAAAGCACAGGAACAAACCAGAAAACACGAGTCGGTTACTACTGCAATTGAATTTCAAGCTCTGTTAGAAAACTATCAATCTTTCACGAATTTAAATCGTCAATCAATGGCACTCGGTTCGATCATTTGGAGTTTGAACGTCGATCCATCTGCGTTGATCAATGTCAATAATGATATGTTACTTCGCCTTTTACACATAATTCAAAAAGATGAACTCTTTTTTCGCTACTTTAAACTACCAGCGATTCATTTTCTTCGGCTCTATGCAACTCAAAACGACTTAAATGAAGACATTCTCTGTTCACTCATTGTTTTATGTGCAGCATCAAGTGATTGCATCTTTACTGCGCTATCTGGTCGAAAAAAACTTATTCGAATATTTGAAAATGACATATTCACTGATATCGAAATGGATGAATGTCGACTAATTCGACTCCTCAACGAATTTGATAAAGCTCGTAATGTGTATGGATATTCGTCTTTTTTTCAAATGAAACAATTCGATTGAGAGTGTTGGATGTGTATCCTCAAGATTTATTTTAGTTCTTTTTATCATAAATATGATTGCCATCTAAATAAATCGAATTGGCGCATCTGAGAATCAATATCTTGACGAATTTTAAGAAGTTTCGTATCCTTAGA